AATGCCATATAGCCACAATGTATCAGGAGCCTCTATACATAGTACAATGTCAATTAGATTGTGTGGATTGGAAACTGGCCAATCACAGCCACCATTTGGATTCACCAGCATGCTGGCCAATCCACCCAGCCAATCAGAAGCTCTAAAGCACTGCAGTGAAAGAATCACAGCCATGTCAGCACACTAAACCCTCCAAGGCCTAGATAACAAAGATGGGTCTGTTATTCCTCCTGAAAGTGATGAGGAAATACCCCAACATGAATGAGAAGAATCTGTCATAGCAGTACACTCTGGTACTTGCCATTGCTGTGGTTTTGAACAGCAGCTTCTCCAAAAAATAAAGAGTACTAAAACATATTCAGAGTTGGAGTTTATTTGCATCCTGAAGCAGTTAGGAAAGGCCTTTAGCAATAAGAAAGCTGACATCTACCTATACTATAACCATGCTAAACTAATGGCTTCAAAACTTGGTTTACAGACTCACACACTTAATAGAGAGGAGCTTCTCAATCATTTAGCTTACATCTATAGGAATCATCACAATATTGGCTCAGTCAAGACTGATGACAGCACCTATCTCTGGTTCCATTTGGCAAATAGACCAGCTAGAGCTGAAGATGCTTTAGGCATTTATAAATTTAAACATTAGCCAATTATCTCTCTGGTTGCAAACATAAGAACATTCAACTTCAACCAATACATATGAATAACTGAAGTTAACAAGTTCACCACCAGCAATCTTCAGAAGGAATGGGAAATAACTAGATCTGTTGTTATTCTTCAGCTAATGTGCTGATGGAACAATAAGTTACAAGACACCACCACCACAGTACTCACTTGGGTCAACAGCAAATACAACATGTACTACCATTATTAGTGAATGATGGAAGGTTGCAACAATTACAGATGGTTGAGAACAATATATTACAGTATTGACCAATAACTTATGCACCAGGACCCTGCATACTATCTATAGTACATACTGACAAGACCCAACCATGCTTGGAAATTGATCTTCTATCCATACTACACCAAGTATGCTAAGCCAGGGGATAAAACTGGGTTTTGCCATATTGATGTCAATATTCCAGATGCTATTACTACTGGAAGAGGTATTAATATGATATAAGGATTCTTGATCTTAACTGCAGAAGAGTCTGGTGACTGTACAGAAATCTTGCCAGAAATACATAACCATCTAGAGAATTGGTGGGGACTAGTTGAAGAACAAGACTTATCTACTGATGACTATATTCACTGCATTAAAAATACAATGTATACTAAAGATGATGAAAGAAAATTTGGTATTAGATGGACCAACATCATTTGCAAGCCTGGTGATGTCTGAATTACAAGTCCTCTGCTACTCTATAAAGCCCATGGTCCATGCAAAAAGGTCTGATGCACTATGCTACCCTGGTATGTGGCAATCCAAGAGGACCATGAATATCTAGAAGTTAATAAAGCTGGTACATGGTCCCAGCTCTCCACTGTATATAGAGATCTAGTTCCAGGGCCTTCATCTCCATCCAGCCATTCAAATCATTATGCATTGGTTCCATATCAATTCCCTACTGCTATTCAATTACAAGGCTTAGGAGCTATATTAGATGCTCTGGTAGGACAAATTAGGTGGAACAACCCCATGATAATTAAGGAACTTGATATTCTCTTTGGCCCTGATGACAAAAAGACTCAGGACTTCATTAATAACTGGCATCTAAAGACCATGTGAATTGCTCTGGATGCTATTATCAAGACTTACCAAATTGAAAAGAAAGCTTTTGGTAATAAATTCTATTGGCATTGTGTGCATAACAACATTATCCAGTGTCAGTTTGGCCTTCTCCTTCTTCTGAGAACTTGGTGGAAGAAGAGGATCATGATGATCACTATTAGAGATTGCTGCTATCACTCTCCTTATTCTTATTTTCTATGTTTTTCCTTACCAGACTGCTCATTACTATTTATTATTCTCTTATTTTACTAAATTGGTTTTATTTTATTTTATATGTTGTTTGTTGTCAGGGGATGCCAATATTGAAGGCCAGGAGGGAATGTAGTGTGGATTCCAGTACCTTATTAGGACAAAGATTGTTCCAGTCTGAGGCACAAACCACCTCAAAGCTACTATTCTTGAGCTATATAAATCACCTGTAGCCTTTGCATCTGGCTTTACCTTCACACACCATGGCTCTTTTCTACACACTTGTTCCTTACTACCAGTTCAGTTATTAGTTAGCAAATATGAAGATTTCTTGTTCATGAAACTTGCTACTGTTCCTCATTAGAGCTGTCTGTGTTAGTACAGGGCTCTTTAGTACTATTACTCCTTGCAAGCTTAGGTGTCTGTTAGGACATATCTATCTCTACACTTACTACTTGACCATACCCTTACTATGTGGTGATTTTTCACCTTTCTTGAGCTCTCACCATATCAACCAACTCACCTACTTTGACAAGGCATCCCATCGTACCCCACTCCAATACTACAGAGAAACAAGAGACAAATGAAAATGAGCTTCCAGTGCTCAGTATGTGTACAGATATACCAAAATCCATTACTGAAGCCAAACACTCTGAAGAGTGGCTTTATTGAAAGAAGGCTCTAGATGTTGAAGTCTCCAAATTACAAGAGAAAGATATCTGAATTCTAGTCAAGAAGAAACCCCAAATGCAGATTCTCTCTGGCAAATGAGTATTCAATAGAAAGCTCAACAATATGGGTAGCACAGTACAATTCAAAGCTTATTGAGTCATATGTGAATTCAAACAGCAAGAAAGCATTCACTACAAGAAGATCTATACAGCAGTTGTTAGTAAATCTACAATAAGAGTCTTTTTTACTATCTCAACAGTCAAGAACTGAAAGATCAGAGTCTTTGACTTTGTGACAGCCTTTCTAAATGAAACTCTTCCAGAGAATGAATATGTATACATTCAACTATCCACTGGATTCAAGCACAGGCAGGGTAACCTAGTAGGACTCTTATGTCAGAGACTCTACAGATTGAAGCAAGCTGCTAGACTTTAATATCAAGCAGCTACTGACTATCTGAAATCTCTAGAATTCCAGATCTCTCCATATGATGTGGGGTTACTCTACCACAAGAGAAAGTGAATCTACCTAACCCTATACATCAACAACTGCTGTATAATGGGACCCAATGAAGCTGAGATAGAATGGCTTATTAAGAAGCTTCAGAAACACTTTGAGATCAAGAAGATTACAGAACAAGATCATTATCTAGACATGTGGGTTCAAAAGCAGCCAAATAGAGATCTTTTTGTGAATCAGAAACAGTATATTGAGAATCTACTGATCAAATATGAAATGGAAAACTGCAAATCTTCTAAAACACCAATAAAGAAAGAAATAAGCATTGAATTTATGCCAGATCAGATTCTTAAAGATGAAGTTGATGAGCAGACTATATCTACAAATTACAGAAAAGATCTGAGCTCTCTACAGTTTCTAGTTATATATACAAGACTGGATATTGCATTTGCAGTCAATTATCTGGTGAGATTCAACAGCAGACTTAATAAAGAAAGCTGAGCAGTGTTCAAGCAGATTCTATACTATCTCAAGAGCACAAAATCAAAAGAAATAGTCTTCAAAAGAGATATAAATTCTGAAGACTTGAAACCAGCAGCCAGTTTGAATTCTGACTGAGCTGGAGCTGACTCTGTGTACAAATCCACCAGTGGCTACATTATTACCATGAATGGAGCTCCAATATCATGGAGATCACAGTGCCAGATATCTGTCTTGAAATCAATGACTGAAGCAGAGTATTTGGCAGCTAGTGAAGCTGCTTGTAAACTAGTTTGGATTAACAATCTGTTGATAGACACCAGAATGATTAGCAAAGACTCAGCAAAGCTAAGAAGCTTAAAATTAAGTATTGACAACAAGAAAGCAGTTGACTTACCCAAAGCTGAAGCTATAATGTAAAGAGCATGCTATATTGAGATTTGACACTCTATGCTAAGAGACTGGGTTTAAAAGAATAAAATCTCAATTAAGTATGTTGGAACCAACACAAATAAAGCTGACAGACTTACAAAGACTCTTGCAATAGATCTCTACACTTAATTTGTGAGTATGATAGAGATGACAAGTTGATACAGGAAAATATAGAGGTTTATCAGTAAAGTCAGTGAAAATACAGTATTGTGATGAAATGAAGCTAAGTCTAAAGAAGAAATAAATCTGGATTCTGTAATTAATTTTTATTGTGGATTTGAGAGATTTGGAAGCTTTGAATCTTTATGACTCTTGCTTGCTGCTGGAGCTCATTGCATGGGGGGGTGTTAGATAATCCAACCAGCACCTCGCTCATGTGACCCACATAGATTAGCTGAGATTCCCCTTTAGGTAGCTTAGTGAATGACAAGCATACAAGTCCTCCATCATTTAGGGCTTCGCCCCGGAACAACCTTCCGCCGGTCCGCCAGCTCAGTCCGCAGGGGGTTGCAGTCCTCACATCCATCACATCTGCATACCAGTGGACATATTCAGGGTTATCTTTGGATTTACAGAGCAGCTTCTTCAATTCCATCCTTACCAGCTCTCACCACAGCAGCTAGCTTGCTACATTGCTGCTTTGGAGGATTATAATGGGGATTCTGGCTATGAAAACAACCAGAATGAAGGACATTTCAGACAAAAGAAAATCTTTGTTACAGAGATAAGAGAGCATAACATGCTTAAGAGACTCTCTGAGTTACTAGACAGCAGAATGACTGCCTTGAGTCATGAAGCTTGACTTGTCTCTTTTCCAGGGGTACGCCTAGGAAGCAGGGATTGCTACTCGTAGTAGTACTCCGTATAGCACTATGGAAAAAATATAACGAATAGTTATGCCTCAGGGAAGATAAAAAAGTCCGGCTTTAAGTGAAGAAATGTGGTGCCCGACAAATTGCCCTGCGCCGTCCTCGAACCGCAACAACTCAACAACTCAACAACCGGCACACAGCACCTCCTCACTCCCCCCATGGACATCTACGTCTCCCAACTAAGCATCCACCTCGACCCGGCACACTGGGGTCCCAACGCAGCCGAATTCAACCCCTCCCGCTGGATCGACACGTCCTCCTCGTCAGATCAAATCATCACCCCAGCAAAGGGCACCTACGTGTCCTGGTCCGGCGGCCCACAGATCTGTCCCGGGGTGAAAATGTCGCAGGTCGAATTCGTCGCGACGATGGCGACGTTGTTCCGGTCCGCGCGGTGCGAGCCGCTGCCAACAGTGGGGATTGAGGATGCTGAGATGCTGAGGGAGAGGCTGAGGCAGTTGGCGTGGGATTCGGTTAGCAAATTGACGTTGCAGATGCGCGATCCGGGGCGTGTGCAGTTGCGGTGGGTGCCGATGGAGGACTGATCAGATAGTATTACTACCAGATGAACGTAGTATAAATTCAAGATTCTATCAAGCTGGAGTGAGTTCTTGCAGAATAGGTGGACTCAATGAGCAGAAATTTAGATATTAACCTTGTAAACGAAACGAAATACTTTGCTAAACCTGATAAAAACTTCGTAGGAAGGCAGTGAGTAAGTTTGGGTATATTCGGGGGTACCGTGAAGAGTAGCATATCGAAAGGACACATCATATCAACAGCGCTTGAAATCCACGTGTAAGACGCTGTAGGTTCCGTTCACTTAGGTTGCCGCGTCGGAACTTGGTGAAAACATCATAGATGAAGAAGTCATCGTCACCCTCATCAACATGTGTATGGTCGCCATCGCCACGGCTATCGGCGCCGTTGTTGCAGTTGTCACCATTATTGGATCCGTTTTCACCTTTATGCTCTGTAGAGGATTTAACAGGGGCCGTCCTCGACGTAATCTCCTCAAAGATCCTCCGAACAATAGCGTGCGTACAAACAGGGTCTGTAGCGGCGATGTAGAGGTTGCGGAGGACCAGGGAGTTGGCTGCCATCCTTTTCGACGCGGCAGGGAATTCCAATATCTTCTCGATGAGCTTCTGATATATCTTGCGGTAGTGCTCAAGCTCCCTCGGTGAGTTTTCATGGTTATTCTGGCAGTCCGATCCAGGCGTAGCGCTTTCATCGAATGTGTAAGTTACCGGATTCCAGTCACGCGTTAACCAGCTTGGATATACCTCATTTCCTAGACAGCGAGGTACCGTGCTCACCCCATCCCAATCGATGAGTGAACGTAGGCTGCCGTCGTCGGACACGAGGACGTTCTGAATATCGAAATCAGGGTGGGAGAGAACAAAATCCGTCTTCTCTCCACTTTGCGTCTCGGGAAAGGCTAGGTCAATGAACAAACGAAGCACACTGTAGACTCCAAGACTGTACTCATCCGGGGGTGGTTCGCGCCTGTCAAGCATGCAGGTAAACCACGATTTTGCGCTGCGGAAGGGCCCAACGGAACAGAAGATTGTGGAATCATCATCATCATCGTCCTGCCCCAGCATGGCTTGGATATCCAGCATCTTCATCGGCCCGATGCAGCATGGACCGTCATTATGATCGAAGAGTATCTCCCCAGCCTCGTCGAAGACAAACTTGCCGAGCTCCAACATTGCTCGCGCCACGCCATCCAACGCACGACAGCGACGTTTTTCGAGTACCTCGGGGTCGACATTTTGATCGAACCAAATTTCGTACAATGGGCGGCCGTCGACATATTCCATCAGGATAAAGGGACAGTGGAGCTCGTTGTTTAGGGTATCGTCGAAATGATACACGGTTGGAACGGGTGCTTTGGTTTTCCTTTGGATTAAACGCATCGTCAGTGCTTCAGACCGGAGGGCGCGGGCAGAAACGGCGTCAAAGGCGTCGGGATAACCATTAGCGGGGACTTTGAGGAGCCAGTGCACCCCATCGTCGAACTCGAGCTTGAAGAGAATATGATAAGTGCCGGAGAGAGGGTCAGGGACGACGCGACAGGACGGGTCAGCAGGGACGGCATCTCCATAGCGAATCTTCAAGGCAAACGCTGGTAGGTTTTGCAGTTGTAAGATCTTGCGGACTTGGTCGAACTGGGCCAAATGCTCGCTGTCCGAGCACTGAGAAGCAGTGTCGCTTCTAGTAGTAGTACCTGAGACCATCATGTTGATGTTATTGAGGTGACTGTGAAGTCACTCCTGAGGGGGGAAAAAAAGTAAAAAAAAGAGAAGCTGACAGACTGGTTGGGGTCAGGTTTGGCATGCAGGCCGAGTACTTTGAGCAATGTCTGTTTGTTTGCTGCTTGCTGTACTCCATAGTTGCCACCATGACCAAACTTTGAGGAAACATTTGAAGAGGAACAAACATGTGCAGGTACCATTAAGGTAGTTCACCACTAAGTGAGCCACACCACTAAGCCAAATCTTCCACCACCCAAATTCCTCCAACATTCAACAGTCAATATGCAACAACATGATCAACAATGCCTCAATTAGACTTGCAATTGAAGATCTTGAATCACAAGAGACCCCAAATTATGCTGCAACTACAAGAAAGTACTCAGTTAATCAAGAGACCCTGTGCTGATGATATAAAAACTTGTAACTTGCTCAGAATAAAGCAGTCTTCTGATATAAGAAAAAGCTCTCTAATATACAGAAGATAGAGCTTCTGAATTATATAAACAAGCTCTCTAGCTACAGCCTTGTCATTACATCTCAGATTTTACAAAATATTATACAAGAGATAACAAAAGAGAATATTAGAATTAACTAAGTGTTATGAATGTAGACCTAGACCAACCAAGCATTGGATGATGTCAGATGTTCAGGGGTATTCATGTGACCCCAATGCTGAATGTATAAGAATCACATGCTTTGCATGGATCATGGGAACCCCAGTGTTCAGTCTCTGAGTAAGGGAACCCCTATATTTTATGCATGACTCTCTCCCATCAGTTGTGGGCATTGTACCTACTTAGCTCTTTTGTATTCCTAATTCTGGGAAAACCTATATGATCTATAACTGGTTCACCTAACATTCTGAATACTCTGATATATGATTGCCTAAGTTGGTACAATGCTACCAAGACCCATGAGATGAATCACAACAATACCCCACATTGCAGATCCAACAGAGATAGATACCAATATGGAGGAGATGAACATTAATAAAGATACTGGTAGCAGTGGAGCTATCATCAGTAAGACACCAGCAGATGATACAGACAATAAAGATACATCTCTCAATACATTAAATAAAATCTGAAGAGAGAAGATCTTTAAAGAAAAGAAGACATATCTGCAAAAGAATCTAGCAGATATATGTGAACAAAATAAGATATGCAGGCTGCAGAAGCAGATAGAATATGAACAGAAAATAGTAAATGATGATTTTTCTTTAGAGTTCCTCTTATGCACAAGACTGATAGAGAAGTCAGATGATTTTAATAATGTGAAGCTACCAAAAGCATCTTACTACCATGGCAAATTACTTGGTAAGTGCAAATTATGGTTAGCTTTAATGAGACAGCAGTTTTGCCTGAGAAAACCATTATAAAAGATATCAGATGTGGTCAGAATTGATTGGGGGTTCAGTTATTTTTGTGACAAACTCTAGATGCATTGGCAGATGTTGAGAATAGAGAGAGAACAACTATCCATGTCATGGAATGAATTTGAGATATGGTGTAAGAATAATGTTGAATCTGAGATAACTTGTAGTTGAGATATGATGCAGTATTATCATAATACTGTTCAATAAGAGAACTAACTCATACTCTTATTTTTCATGTATATTGCTGAACTTGAACAGAATCTGGACAGTTTATCAGATGAATTCTTTTGTGTACTCTTTCTATAGATGAAGCTCAGATTAATCATCTGAGCTGAACTGGATAAACTGCAACACCAACCAAAAATGATTGTAGAATTATGAGAACAAGTAATGCTTATTAAGTTCATTCTAGAAAAGAAGAAGCAAAGTCAGTGGAACAAGAATTAAAATGAGAAGAAATGGAAAATCTCAATCTCTCAAGAGAAAGGTGTGTTCCAACAAGACAATAAAGAAGGTTATTCATGAATGAAGAAGATGCTGGTGAAACCACTTCCAAAAATGTTGGAAGAGAAATATAAATGATGAATGAATGAAGAGCTCTGTCTAAGATGTGACCAATCAAGCTATAGAGCAAAGTTCTGTACAAATGGCTTCAACAAGTCTCAGTAGACAGATGAAAAGAATGAAGATTGGGTGAAGACTAGAGTCACAAAGCCCATGCAAGACCCAGGTCAAACATTAGAAAGATGGGGTGTTAACTCAATAGAGAAGGTAAGCAGATGCAGTATATGCCTGTCAGCCACACTGACTACACTGTCAGATAATCTTATAAAGCAAGCTGCACTGTTGGACTCAGATACCACAGTAGACAGTATTTTCTATAAACTGGTGTCCCAATTGGACTGGGATCAATCAGAGATGCCTATAGAAGTCATTAAGATATTGAATGGAGCTGAGGCTGATTGGTATGGCATTTACAAGACCCAACTCACTATAATAGACTCCATGGGGACCACAAAGATGGTAAAATGTATGTTTGTGGTGATTGACATGGTTGATGTGAATATAGTTCTAGGCATGCTGTGGTTAGAAGATTTCAACCCAGATATAGACTGGAAGAACAAGATGTGGTGTTACTAATTCTCAGAGAAAATGATGGAACTTCTGAATGCAGATAGATTTCTCTGAGTGATGCATATCAAGAACAAACTCTCTTATATTATTTTTGTGTCAGATGACAACCAAGTCCTGACAGAAGTACCTGAGTGGTTGAAGAACTATAAAGATGTTTTCTCAGAAGAAAAAGTAGCAGAGTTGCTGGAATTGATGAAGTTTATCTAGATGATATTCTTATTTTCTCAGTCTTAGAGAGAGAGCATGAGAAACATGTTAGACTAGTTATGAAGTGTCTAAGGGAATACCAGTTGTTTGCAAAGCTTGCTAAGTGTGCTTTTAAAAGATGAATAATCTCATACCTCAGATATATTATTGATAACAAAGGTATTAAGATGGACCCAAAGTAGGTACAGATGATCATGAAGTGGCTCTTGCCATGAAGTTTCCATGATATTCAGATATTTCTGGGTTTTGTGAACTTCTATCAGAGATTCATATGAAAGTACTTGATTATCATGGCACTGTTGACAGATCTCTTGAAGAGCAGTGAAAAGAGAAGAAAGAAAGAATCTTTTCTTCTGATACCTGCTGCCAGAGAAGTATTTTGCAAGTTGCAGGCAGTCTTCTTCAGAGAGCCTGTCATCCAGCACTATAATCCAGAATATAGAATATGTCTGGAGATGGATGCTTTGAAACATGCTGCAGGTATGATATTGCTACAGCTGTTTGAAGATGGGTGGCATCCAGTTACCTACTGATCATTCAAGTTTGACCAGACCCAATAAGCCTATGGCATGCTGGATAAGAAGATGTTGGCCATTATCTGAGTGTTTGTTTATTGATGACAGTACTTAGAAGAAACAAAGTATTCTGTAGAGATTATTATAGACCATGCAAATCTTTGTTCATTTATGAAGTCCATGAACAAGATGGCACAATAATGACATGTAAGATGGATAGAGATTCTTGAGATGTATGACTTTGAGATTCTCTACTGCCCTGGAAAGCATAACCCAGCTAATGCATTATCATAAAGATCAGATTATGTTAAACTAGAAGAAGACATTGGTCTGCTGATGTATATGCTCAAACAACATTATATGGATGGTGTTCCAGAGTGGGACCCATTTGAAGAAACTTTCTTTAATGAAGAAGATATTTAAGTATGTGCTGCTCATGCTGTCCAAAGCAGTAGAGTAGAGGTGGTGCAGAGAAGATCTGGTGGCATCAAGATAGTTAAGTCAGTCCAGAAAGCACCAGCCAAAGATGCTGAGAAGACTCAATAAAGAAATTGCAGGAGATTCTGGATTCTCTGTATGTATGTAAATATGATGATGAAAAACAAAAAGATCTATAATAAACCAACTGTAAGTGTGTTGAATCTGCTGCTAAAAGCACAGAAAGATGATCTCTCTGTACAAGTGAGATTTGCTGAGGCAGGATCTCAGTAGTCAGAGTGGAAAATAGATGAATAAGATCTTTTGATAAAGAGTGGCAGAATCTACATCTCTAATGATCTGGCTCTAAGGCAGGAACTACTATAAGTTCACCATGATGACTTATTTACAGGTCACTTTGATGTGGTGAAGATGTTTGTCTTGCTCTAGTGAAAATACAATTGGCAATTAATGAGACAAGATGTCCAGATGTACATATGCAAATACTAAACCTGTCAATAAGGGAAGACTCCAATGCACAAACCATATGGGTTGCTCACATTATTGCTGACACCCAGTGGTTCCTGGTGTTCAATATTTATGAACTTTATAATGAACCTCTCTTTAAGTGGAGAGAAGAGAAACCCATATGATGCAGTTCTGGTTATTGTAGATTGATTTACAAAGCTTGCATGTTTTCTTGTGTGTAGAAAGAAGATTAATACACCAGAGATAGTAAATCTTCTATTCAGAAGAGTGTTTAAAGACTTCAGATTTCCAAATAATATTATTTTGAACTGGGGATCTGTTTTCACAAGTGAATACTGGTCAGAGCTATGTTTTTACATAAAAGTTAGACAAAAACTTAGCATGGCATTCCACCCACAAACAGATGGCCAAACAGAGACACTGAACAAGATTTTGGAGGAATACCTTCATATCTATTGTAGCCATAGACAAGATGACTGGAAGGAGTGGCTTGTGTATGCAGAATTTGCATACAACAGGTCAGAACACTTCACAATGCACATGTTCCTGTTTAAAGCAATGTATGGCTTTGAACCTAAAGAACCAGACAAGATCCAGAAGTTAGTTAATAATGATAATGATGCACAGATGGTGCTTGATGGGAGACTGAGAATAATCTCTGTGTTAAGAGATAGTCTGGTAGAATATTTTTTAAAAGCAAAAGAGGACCAAGCATGGTTCTATAACTAAAGATGTCAAGATAAAGTGTATGCACCTGGTGATAAAGTGATGTTGTTATCAAGAAACCTACAAACAATATGTTCTTGCAAGAAATTAGATGACAAGTACTATAGATCTTTCTCAGTAAT